TCGACAAATAACTCATTAGCGGAAACTCTAAATCTTGACATTGCGATTCTATATCTATTTTCCGTTGTGAAACTCAAATGTTTTTCTAACACGAAATTATATTTGAATTTACAATAATATTTCAAACGACTGGAGTTATTTTTTTCGGAGTACCAAGATTGTAGATATTTATCGAAAAGGCGTTGTTTGATCATGTTAAAAGGAATAACAATTCGAATTGTTCATTCCATATATACACTCAGTCAGTCATGTTTACGTGTGGGAAGCCCAGTTATAACTTCGGTGCGTATAACCCATGGTCTGTATTTAAAATTCTAACTTTCCTCGTGATTTTGTCACTATAGACAAAGACGAAAGGACTGGTGTTAAACTGCAAATAAACACTGGGTAGGGACTACTTTTATATGCGGCTGTTATGTTTTCTCCCTCGATTATATAGTTTACAAGGCCTTTTAAAGCAACAATAAAAACAACATTTTTTATTTATATTTTCAGTTCTTATAATGTTTTCTTTTCATACAATACCGAAATAATATCTCACATACACTTATGACACAGATTTGATCCATATCAGTTAACAAATATTTTGACGAAACGGCGCAAATCCGTAAGCAGTGTAATGACGTCATCCTAAGTATACAACACATTCATAAACGCTGACGTCATTCAAACATACAATAATGATAAATTGGGCACGGATGTGAACACAATACAATCCATTCCAAGACGGTTTTTTTTTTACATATCTTCGAATCATAACGACGTCATTTCCTTAATAACATAATAAAATAAAGTCACTCAGTCTATATGAATCATATAGGTATATATTTAAAACTTGGTATATATCTAAAATGTGCTTTATACTTCTAAAAAGACCTAATAGACCCGAGTTATGCAGACGAATTGATTTTCAATATGTTTTTGACGTCATCGCGATACAGAAAAGAATATAATTTGTCAAATTATGTTTAACTAAATATTGCTGTTACGAAAATATATATGAACAGGCATTGTTATCATTCTTATTAAGATACCTCCGTGGCCGATAGGTTGAGGGAGCAGACTTCGAGCAACCACTTCAAGCAAAATATAAAGACCTTCAATTATTATCAATATTGTAAATCTGTTTATGTTATAAGTTATAAAGATATATTGATTTTATTTGGTTAAATGTCCCTATATATACGGTTGTTTGGAAATATAACCGGAGCCGCTGCCCAAAATATTTATAACGAATTTATAATACAGTAAGCATCTTTTTTTTTTTTTTTTTTTTTTTTTTCATAGACAAAAGTGAGATGTCTTAATAAATTGACAGCAGCTGTGAAGATTATAAGTTATAAAGAGTTTTGACATGTTGTATGGCTCATATACATAAATATGTTATGTTAATATATCCCGAGTCGATAGGAAAGGGTTATATTGCTAATAGCCGTTAATATGACCGTTTATTAAATAACTATACGTTATTAGTCCTATAAAAAAGCACCTGCAACGTTCAATAACACGATGGTCTTCCTTAAAACAGGGCCAATGTCAATATCACTTTTTCGGCCCCGGGCCAAAAAGTGATATAGATATAAAGCCCGCATTTGAAGTAATTTGATTGTCTAATAAAGCAGGGCCAAAAAATGATATAGATATCTGCAAGAAACTGGGAAGTGGCAGCCATTTTGTTTTAACTCGGTCTATGTGTAGACGCCGACAGGTTGCATAAATGAAACAAAATATTCTCAGTTTCTAAACAGTCACAGTCTGACATTTTGTTGTACTTGTACAATATAAGTTACAAAATGTAGGTTTTCCATACAAACTGATAAAATGTAGTAATTTTTACAGTTGTTCTTTGTTAAAATTAAAATATGTTAGAATTAAAATAAGAAGAAATATCCGAGGATGAAATGTAAAATATTATAAGTACATGTAGTTATTTAATAAAATTGTCAATAAATAAATGATTTGATATTGGTCCTTGGGCCAATACGACTGCCCTCGGGCAAATAACAGGGCCAATATCAAAACACTTATTTATTAACATATAATATAAACGGCAGTTTGCAATATAACCCTCGCCTAGCGGCTCGGGATATATTTACAAACAGCCATTTATATAGGGCCATATAGCCTGTCAACAATCTTTATAACTAATACTATAATAATATACACGGCTGCTGTCAATAAATGAAGAAATCTTACTTTTTCTCTAAAAATGATGCATGCTGTATTATAAAATCATTATAAAGATTGTTGACAGGTTATAATTTATGGCCCTATATAAACGACTTTTTGTAAATAGCTTAAAGCGGCATTCAGTTTTATTTTCTGTTTCATGAACAATTCTATGTTATTTCAAACTAAGTATTTCAGTAATTGTATCTTTGAAAAAGGCATGATATCACTTTAAGACAGCTTCCCGGGAGCTATTTATAACGAGTAAAATACATTCGTTTCTAAAAATAGAAGATCGGGAAACGAATCGTCGTCCGCTTTACTAATTTAAATATAGAGAGCGGGCCGGTTGACGAGAGGTATAGAGGGTTTCCCTTTATTGCTAATCTATTTAATCGTCGGGAAATTTTATTTTCCACCTCAGTTCTATAGATATGACACTTAAATTAAACAATTTATGTAAAAATAACATATTTAAAAGTGGAAGGATGCTTTAATGTTATAACACTGCACTTACATTATTATTTCATCCTAAAGATTTTCTACCTGTTCTGCAAAATTAGATTACAATGTTTTGTATTTCAATCTGTATTTGACGATTTATTGCTATAAAGCTTAAACGCAATGCAAATAGTTCTTTAAAACCAATATTTACAAATATTTATATTTACAAAAGAATGAAAATGTAAATGCCACATATCTAAGATGACATTTGAGGCGTTGTTGAAAAGTTTTTTTACATATACGCAAATATAAAACTTACCTTATGAAAATAATGAGACCAAGTTCGGGCAAATCTGACCGAATTAGCTGCCATGAAGATTGTACAAGTTCTATTTGCTCTGGTGATAAACATGTGTTCAGCTGGTTGCTCTTTCGGGATTTATCCAAACTATTTCTCACAATTTTATTTCCCATAGTTTCACTATTTTAAGTGAAGGAAACAAACTTGACTTGGAAATTAACACTATTAAGTAGAAACAGCATCTTATTATCTAAATCATGATTTAAAGACCTGATTATCTCAATGAATATTTTATTACAATAATGCATGTAATATTCCTTCTCAGAATTTGAAACATCCAGTTTTTTACATTCACTTCATAATAGATATAACATACTTTCACTTGAGTAGTTTCACTTAGATAAATGTGTAAAACACGCCTGTTGTCTGCTTTCCAATACCTTACAATAACAAATCTGTTTCCTGATTTCTTTTACAAATCTTGTATACTTCATGCCTGCGATATTAATTGAGCATATCATCAATGTCTGTTTCTTAAAACGAAATTTGTACAATAAGGTGTAACTATTATCTTACTATGCTCTTTTTAATGAGCCGAGATCAAAAAAAGTACATGTACTGAATAATCGGCATCTCCATTTGATAAATAACTTCATAAAAACATATCATCAATGAAAATAATGGAAACAAGAGTTATTGGTAGGACAGCGTGCTTCACTCCTTCTCAGTGTTTTTGAAAATAAAACTGGATAATGTTGAATTTTCTAATTTCAAAAATTGCCATAATTCTGTCATGTTACAGTTATGATCCTTGAACAGTGACCTCCTATTATGCACTAAAATAAGCGCGTAAAGTTTAAAGTTAAAACCCATTCCTTTCAATAAATTTGAAGATGCAAGCTTGCACGGAAAAAATCTTACCAAAAGTCTGACTGACACCAAAACATGGGTGAGTACAATAGCCGTCCGTTTTCTTCGAATAGTGGAGCTTAAAATTTACAGGTATTAAAATACAAACCAATAGAAGCATCGGATATGTGATAATGGGTAACAGCTTCAATATTAGTATTTTCAAATCAACTAACAAAATGAAATAACCGTTTGTCTATAAAACATTTACAAGTTACATGGAGGTATCGGTGAATATCTCGGGGTTTTAACTCATGCGGCTAGCGATCATTAGATTACTAGTGCAACGCGTTAACCACTTGGCCATGCCGCCACACTTCACCTTTCAATACAGTGTCTCAGATTTCTGGAGTGTGATAAAATGTATATAAGAAAAGTCTATGACAGTTCGTAAGCAGCATAATGACGTCGTCCTAAGTATGCAACATATTCAAACAGGCGCAAGAATGACGTTATTGTAAACTGACATTAGTTAGGTTTAAAATATGATTAACCAAGCACCTATAAACACAATTTTAAAAAAAATCTTTAATAAAAAGGTGAAAGGGTGCCTATATTTTACTCTCTGTTAGTGATATATATTGCAAATAATATAAAATTTATTTAAATGTCTTTCATTGAGAAAATTAATATGAATAAAAATCAACAGAAAGTCGTGTGGTACACATGTCGTCTTTTTAGTAAATGGCGTCTGAAAAAAGTGCGACTTCAACAAGGTCATGAAATGGGCTACGATGTGCGCCGGATAGACCATAGTGACCAATTTGTTTTTGTATTTTTTCGATGACTTTTATTTTTTATTCTAATGTTTTGTATAATATACTGGAAATCTTCTAATTCATTACAAAGGGACCCGGATAGTGTAAAAAAGTAGTTCTAGAAGAAAAAAATATAGTTTATATATAATATCTATATACATGTATTACAGATAAACTATATATTTTTTTCTAAAATTATTTTTTTTTTACACTATCCCAACACTGTGCCGGGTTCCTATGATTCATTATACTTTTATCTTGTATCTATATAACATTTACTGAATAAGCATAAGTTATTTTTGGTCATCCTTTGCGTGTCGTTAAAAAGAATTTTTTAAAGTGTGCGTTAATATTTAATTTCCCGGAAATAACCTCTTGAATCATGTATAGTACCATAACTAGAGAATCTGAACAAAAAAATATTGTATCATTGTGCGCGCTTGTGGAAGAGAAGCATCATGGTTTTGAAATTACTGTGTATGTTGTATAGTGTTGGATATTGCGTTCTTGGACAATACGTGTATGATTATAACAATGACACATATGATACTACGTCGTATACGTATGATGACGTTAACGACACAAACCAGTTTTATTATGACTATTATGATGGTAAGTAGTATTTCATCATTCTATTTTGATGTTGTTTTTTTCTCAATTTTTCTGATAACATTTATAATGAGGAGAGAATATTAAGATGTCCTGTCATTTCCATGAACCGAATTCTCTGGACAAGTAACAAAATAATTTGTGTCAAATCTTTATTTCATTTTAAAAACATTTTCTAGCATGCGTCGTACAAACTACGCGAATTTGCAAAATTGAGGTTTATGAATCTCGTGCATGACGTTTTACAAAAGGTTAGAACTTTCTTTGACCTTAACGCAGTCACATGATCAAAATTGATACGGAATGACATCGTTAACTGCTCTTATTTTGCAGTGGACAGAGTTTTGTTGTTTGTTTGTTGTTGTTTGTTTGTTTTTTTTTGTTTTGTTTTTTGTTTTTTGGGGGATTTATTGTGTTTTTTTTGTACATTCTAAGTGATATTTACAATAATGATGCAGTGCCATTATTTTCCATTACAGATGATTCAAGCAGTGGAAAACTTGGATGTTTCAAATGTTTCAACTGCACCGATCCTTTTGATCCTACAACAGCTGAAAGAGTGATGTGCAAACATTCATGTTTAACGCATTATCTACATGGTAGACGTTTTTATGTTTTTTTTATTTCATTTTTTTTTCATTTTTATTCTATTTATTTATTTATTTATTTAGTTTAGTTTGTTTGTTTTATTTATTTTTTTTATTTATTCTTTTATTTATTTGCTTAGTTTTGCTTAGTTACATTATTTGAATTTAAATTTGTAATTTAAAAAATATATTCATTTTTTTTGCGTTTAATTTTTAAAAAATGATTATGTATGTATGTATTGTATTATATGAATGAAGTTACATTTTGATTAATGCACGTAAATATACATGATCAATATGTTTATCGACACATTTTGTTGTTGTTTTTTCTTCTTGCTTTTTCCACTACATGACATTCAAGAACTCATTTAATTCAAATTCACCAAGTTCGATTAGAAAGGTTTATTTTTTTACGTAATATATTGATAATAAAAGCTGGCTGAATAGTTTAAATAAAATTGCTAAAAACTTTATATCATTCTTAAAGTAGCTAAAGTTCTTATTTGGCAATCACATTCTTACAAGTCATGCGGCTAACCGTTTATAATATAAGTTGTTTTATTTACAATCTAATTTGATTTATAGGAATGCTATTACTGCGTTTAACATTTTCTTTCAACGAATCTTACTACAGCTTTTTTGATATTTGTCTAAATAAAAGGGGCACAAATTACAATAATTGCTAAATGTGTTATTATATTAAAGATATCACTGAAGGTAAGAGCGTTTTTCGAAGATGTGGTATTACCAAGGAAGATGGATGCGAGAAGGATTCACGTGGTGCATTGTGGTGTCATTGTACCAGTCAGTACTGCAATAGAGCCGAAAATGTAAAGATGCAAGCTCTGATGTCTTTCACTGTTTCAGCGTTTCTAGCAGCTGCAAAGAAATACTTGTTTTGAAACATGTGTTTACTATTCATATCCTGTAATAAAATGATGTGAAAATTACACAGAAATCGTAAAAATACAACACATGGAGTACAAGACCAAATGTTCTTCTAGTTAAAGTAACATTAAGTCCATTAAAGTGAAATCGGTCTGTGTACTGGTAGAAATTAAAGTTACTTGACATTTGCCATGACTGTGTTTAATTTTGTATTTTACCAAAAAGTCAATAAACGACTAGTCATTTATGACTAGTGGGGCAGTCTTTGTATGCTTTAGGTGGTTTTTATATTGTATTATTCTTTTATACTTAAAGAAGTTTTTATATTTTATCATTTTTCATCATCAATTATTGATTAACAACCATTATAATAGCAAATCATTTAAAATATATTCCTTATATGAGCCTTGTCATGACAAAACCAATATAATGGGTTTGCGACCAGCATTGATCCAGACCAGCCTGCGCTATCAGTTTCTCTACTTGTTATAGGGTTTGTAATCGAACAACATGGATCCTGATCAGACTGCGCGGATGCGCAGGCTGGTCTGGATCCATGCTGGTCGCAAACCCATTATGTTGGTTTTGTCGTGACACGGCTCATATAACTAAACTTGACAGCCATAAAAATAAGAATTATATTACTTTAATCAAATTGAAACATACGGCCAGCATTAAATATACGAGGGTGCATCAATAAATTCGTAAACAAATTCAATAGCGTCAAAACTATTGGTCCGTTTAAAATGAAACTTTATAAATGTTTTGGAAACAGATTATTTCAAATTGAATCGTACTATGTACACAACGTTGACGTCATCACTTATTAGAAAGGCAAATGAAGAACAGTGGCTGCCATTCAAGAGTACATACTCCGAGGTAGACGAGTAAGTGTGGAGCACGTAGCTGATAAGTTCGCTATTTCATATGGTACAGCTCAGGGCATTATGACCGATAGATTAGGAATGCGCCGCGTTTCAGTAAGATGGGTGCCTCGTTTCTTGACGTCGGAGCAGATGGGGGTAAGAGTGAAAATGTGTCAGCAGTCCGACAGGAGGTATCGTGAAGAAGGCAATTACTTGCTTAATCGAGTGATAACATGTGATGAAACGTGGATTTACTTTTTTGAACCGGAAAGCAAACGTCAGAGTTCTGTCTGGAAGCGTCCTTCCTCGCCTTCCCCTACAAAAACGATAATTTCCATGTCAGCCGGGAAGGTTATGGTCATTAAATTCTGTGATACATACGGTGTAGTGCTAAAACACTTCGAATTTTTATGAAACATAACTTAGAATGGAACTCATGGCGGCAATAAGGAGAATGCGCCCACATCTACTTATCACGACAACGCGCCGAGCCATTCAAGCCACGTTGTCATGGATACACTAGAAAATAGAGGTGTAACGATTCATTGATGCATCGCGATCTGACATGTCCTCAATGTATGCATCGATATGATATTACAAATTCCAATATATCGCGATGCAATACATATTTCACCTTCTAGTGTATCGATATAGCGGGAAATTATCGCAATACACTAAAGATATCTTCCAGGAAATAAAGACAAGCATATTTTTTTTTGAAAAACTGAAGAAAGAAAAATAGCTCGGATGAAAATGATAAACAAGCGCGACTTTTATCATATCGTTGTCATTTCGTTTCCTGTTAAGTGTAGACCATGTCCGCATTCATTTAGTTTTATTAATTTCATATAAATAAATGGCTGGTGTTCTTTGAACTTGTTTATAATAAATAATATAATTAGAGATGTATACGTTTTCAAGAAAATAAAACATGCAAACATGAATTTGTAAATTTAGAATTAAAATAGTGATGATGACAATATGCCAATGTGATATTCGTCACGTATTTATACTTTCTTCACGGTTGACGTCATTTTCCCGTAAAAAAAAACAAAAAAACAGAAAACATGTAGACTGTAAATTTATTTACATGGGGAAACTATACTTAATCCTCCCTTGTCATATAATTCACGAGTTCGGGAACACTGTGGGTTTTTTTTGGGAACCAACAGACACCGTTGTATAATACGGAAGACCGGTTGTAGAGTGTTTGCAAAATTTGCAAACTTAAAATAAAATATTCTTGGGTTGAGCACACATCTTTCGAGCAAACTGAGAGTAAAACTGATAAACTGTTATTTTCACAGTTTTTGACCTAATTGTAAATCACTTGTTACTATGTTTATTTTCACAAGAAAAATCTTAAGTGGTATATTGTAAGACTGTCATATTGTTAAACTGTCATATTTACAGAAGTGGACTAAATTGTAGATATCAATTTGCTGTTTTGGTATAATTAAAAATACCTCTGATCCGTAAGTAATCAGAAAAGTAAAGTGTTGAAAGATCAAAATCGGAAACCAAGTTTTAACACCAAGTTGAAGAGTTTATTGTTTTGTTATTGTAATAGTTTTATATTATATTCGTAATTATGCTGTAAACAAATGACCAAACTTTTATATAAGTCAGTATCGTGATACGTATCGATTCGCAAAATAAGAATCGCAATATGCATCGCATTTCTTCAAAGTATGCAATACATATCGTGAATCGCATCGTTTGGAAAAAACAAGTATCGTGATATGTATTGTGACAGAAAAATGGCAATGCACAGCCCTACTAGAAAAACTCGACGTCGAACTGTTACCGCACCCACCCTTCAGCCCGAACCTAGCAATTTGTGACTTCTGGCTGTTTCCAACTATAAACAAGAATTATCTTTAAAAAGATACTTGGTCGAAGTGAAACTTTGTTAACTTGCATAGGATAAGCTACTACTAACCATGCTAACCGCAAACAGAACATTTTTTACGTCCTCAATAGTTTTATTTCAGTTCATTTTTACTAGCAATGTTTTTCCCCATTAATTTTCATCTTAGATTAAAACAATATTACTTAAATTATTTGATTTTAATCAAAATGGAATTAGATTTGAATTGGAATTTATAATAAAACAAAGATTAAGTAGATACTGTACACTAATTCCACGGAGAAGTTTGCAACTGTAAATTAGTCGAACGTTCGTTTCAATCGTCTTATGCCCGGTTCGAGAAGAGAATATAATGACTAGAACGGCTTAGGAGAGAAACCCAATCGAACGCAAAAGTATCAAAAAGGCGATATGTCATATTTAATTTCATATATTATTGAAAAGCTGTTAAAACATCTAGAAAATATCATTATTGTGTTTTTTTTTAGTTTTATTCTGATTTATATCTTTCCAACACTTCTTGCCATCGCGCAATCAAAGAGACCTCTACCTAAAACGGAAGCTCTTCTGAAGTATCAATCGAACAGGCTATTAATGTTAAAATGACCAATGAAAATTCTGTCTATATTCATTTCTTAACTGTTAATTTTAGCGGAAGTCAATTTGAAATCATACGGTTTTTGGCCGAAAAACAGTTTTCGAGGTACGAAATTTGAGACAAGAGAGGACCTGAGGTGTGCCGTGGATAGACAGCTGTGGGAGATGTGACGTGACGGGCTACAACACGTGTTCGAGTCATAGGTCGAGAGATGGGACAAGTGCAAATCGTGTATTGGACGTTACTTTGAGAAGTAGTCATTATTTTAGATACTTGAATTTAATCATTTCCCCGCTATTGAATTAATCTACGAATTTATTGATGCATCCTCGTACGGACCGTCAGAACTGCTTTCCAGACACACTTTTTAAGTGGAAAAGAATTTAAAATTTCATGTCCTTATTTTTTTCCATTTCATATTTGACGTCATATTACATATAAACATTCCTTTTCTTAAGCCACGTACACATCTATTTCGTGATAATGCACTATACACTGCTCTATGTTTGGTAATAAGAGATAGTTCGAAACACATAAGAATAAAAAGTAATATTAAAGAGTTTTGTTTTAATCATTGAAATTACAAAATAAGTAGTTAAACCAGAAAAAAAAAAAAAAAAAAAGAAATAAGAAAATGCTAAATAACATTTACACTTACAGTGCCACCTGTCGAGAGCAGCCTTCTGTAAAGCAATTACCTCTTTATAATAGCAGTATCAACGTTTCACAAGTAAACCCTTCACAATAAATCTTACCTCTGCAAGCAACTATCAACATATATGTCTCGCAAAGAATATTGCTATACATAGGTAGTTTTTTTACTGCTCTAAAGTGTTCAAAACATTAAATGAAACTGCTCTAAGACAGTGTTCAAAACATAAAATTTACGGTATAGATCACAGTTTAATTTGTTTTTCTAGTTACAGTTATGTATAATTGTTGTTATTAAGATATTTATCAATTTTAAAATGCAAGGGAAGTAAGCACGTGTCAAATGCTTTCAAAGTTTGTAAGAGTAATGTACATTTATTACTCTCGTCCTTCTATTTTTGTCTTATATCCCGTATTGATGATTGTCTTGCTACATCGTAGTCCTTTAAGACATGTGGTCCTTCGGTTTACTTTTTATTTTTGTTAACATGTTCATTTCTGTGTTTAACTTATTTCATCTTTTGTAACAATAACAACTTTTAGAACTACGTTTGGCGGGAATTTCTTGTTATTTACATTGTTTCGTTTAAAAGGAACATGGTGGGGCTAAGAATGATGTTTTGTGCACCGTTAACCGGTTTAAACTCCAGTGCTTATCCTGCTGATCTTCCAAAAGGCGACGTCCCTCTATGTTCATCAGATTTATTACTTGTTTATTGTTGCATGCAATTGTGGCGACACATATGTGTGTCCCTTCAAGATAAATTGATGAAATATGTTTAAGATGATATTCATCTTTATGTATCGTGACTTGTCTGCAAATTCGACAGAATTCTGCGGTGTAAATACAAATATCATTATACGTGTATAATAATTGCATGTAATGAAATTCAAAGCAAATGGTATATACACGCAATTTGTCATATGATACCCCAAAAAAATGCTTTTATTCTTTTTTTTCAAAAGCTGTTTATTTTTGGTGTCTTCTTGAAGCTACCAAACTAAACTTATTTGACAAATACCTGAACCCTGTTTTGCTTTTATTGCATCTTGGCAATACTTACATTTATAGTGATTTAGTATTTTGTATGGACATGATGGAAGTCTAATTACTAATTTGTTTACATTTTGCTACTTTTTGACAAGTAATGTCACATTCCATGCTTCTTTCTTCAAGTGAGAAGAATCAAAATATGTTCTGAAACCA